AAGCATCATTCTAATGCATTAATAGTGAACCCCTGAAGATTCTGCCAAACAGCAATCTGTTAGCATCATGCTTGCAAGGCTACATGGCCTAAATGGGAATAAGAAAAAAACTGTTAAATCATTAAGGACTACTTTGTACAAATTATTTTTTAATATCTTATTTTCTGAATTTCTTGACTAATGATGGCCATATACAACTTTTTTGCTTATTAAATATTAATTTTATTAGGTACATATATTTCTGTAAATCCTACACTGCTCAGTTTTGATTCATGTTGACCCATATATGTAGCTTTACAAACTTTTGTTTATATGCTATTAAATCTTAATTTTATAAACATTAAGGTATAGAATCTTCCATGGACTTATTTTAATCATTTCATAGTGCATTCCTGAGATTCAGTAGTATTGATGACTGTACCTATAGTTCATATATTTTCTATGCTTTATAATATTCCACTATATGAATATTATACTATTTACTCATTTTCCCCTCTCTTGATAGGAATGTGTGTGGCTTCCCACTTTCACTATTACAAACAGTGTTATAATGAAAGTTTTGATTGTGTCTCTTATTGCTAATGAGCAAGATTGGGTTTACAGATAGGAGTGGAATTTCTAGGAGATAGCATTCCCACACATTCAATTTTATGTATGATAAATGGCCTTCCCTAAAAGGTTGATTAATATATTTGCAGTCGTCTTGCAACAACTTAGTGAAACTGGAGTTAGAGACAAAACCAGGTTCTCTGACTCTGCTGCTGTGATTGCTGGTGGGGTCCCAGCTTTCTGCAGCCAAGGCAGCTCTTCACAGGAAGAGGTGTCCACTGGTGTTACCAGCTGATCTCAGTAGGAAGGATTATTTTTTGGCGGTGGCAAGTGGAATCCAGCTGTGTTGTAGCTCTCTGCAGCAGGCTGTGCCTCGTAGTGTTGTAGCAGACTCTAGCTGCCTGCCAGGGACTTCTTTCCAGGCTCCTGGCCTTTGAATTTGAAGAATGAAAGCCACAGACACCAGAATGAGCGTGAAAAAGTAGGATTTATTCAAGTGAGAATAAAAATAAATAAAATAAGAGTTCTTATTGGTGAGAGGTAACCTGATAGCAGGTTATCACTTAAATGTATTAGTCTAGGGTCTTGTGTAGCTCCTGGGTAGGGATATTGATCTCTAACTATGTTAATCAGGTATCGGAAAAATGCCAAGGCAATTGGTCAATACCTATGCTAATCAGATATTAGAAAAGTGCCAAGATTATTGGTTCGGCTCACGACCTTCTAATTGGCCGTGCCCTTTTAGCTCTTGAGTCTGGAGCCTTCGCTCAGGTGCATCCCACCTCCCTTTTCCTGCCACTGTGGAACAAGAGTCGGCTGGAGCGTTTGGAGTAGTTCTCCAGGTTAATCTCATGGAGTGGCCTTTACATTTAGGGAAACCTTCATGGGGCTCATTGCCCTCACTCCTGCCCTCTCTGTCTGTCCTATCTACTCATTAGAAGGTTCAGGCTTCCTACTTTTTGCCATTGTAGTCTACATTGACATTTTTGATTACTTTTAGATTTGAGCATCTTTTTATAAGATTTCTGCTCATTTTTATTTCTTTTCATATTAAACACTGTTTTTAATTTTTTTTTTTACCCCATCTAGATTATTTTTTGTGTTTATTACTTTAAAGATGCTGTTCCAATGTGTCATGGTTTTCAGTGTTTGGTGTGAACATTCAACAATATTCTTTTCCTTACCTATAATGTATTTTCCCTTTCCCACCCCATTTGTTATTAAGATTCCCCCTGCAACCCCCCTCTTTTTTTTTGATTTTACAAGTTTGTGATACACTGTGTCCACATGTAAGGTTTTTCCCCATGCTTATCCTGGTTGGGGTTCCAGAACTTGCTGGAGGTAGAAGCCCATATTTCTCACAAATCTGGGAAATTTTAAGATAGTAGTTATTCCTATATCTCATTCAGCACTGCTCTTATTTCCTTCTTGGACCCCTGTTTGAGGTATGTTGGTTTGAGATTATCCTAGAGGTCTCTGAGGCTCATATTTTTCTTCAGTGTTTCTTCTTTTATTTTTCAGCCTCGGTAGTTTCTACTTATCTATCTCAAAGGACACTGGTTCTCCGGCCATTGCAAATTTATTATTAAATTCTCCCAGTGAACTCCTCAATTCTGTTGTACTTTAAAATTCTAAGATTTAAATATTTTGGAATTTCTCTTGTGAGATACCTTGTTTTCTCCCATTGAGAACTTATTTTTTCATTAACACTTGAAAAATGTCTTTCTTTAATTTTTTGAACACATATTAAATAGCTGCTTTAAAATCTTTTCCTTCCAAATCCAACATCTAGGCTATCATGTGGTTAGACTGTTGACAGCATTTTTCTTGTCAGATCAGATCTTCCTGCTTTTTAAAATTTATTTTTGAATTATTTTTCACATATCTACTATTTTAAAAAAATCGGAATATTATTTATATCACATCATATAGCATCTGGGTGTTGCCATTTTCCTCTGAATCTTACTAATTCTTACTGTCTCATTACTTCAAACTCATATAAGTTTGGTTTTACACTTTATGAGGATCGATCTGTTCCACAGTGCTCTCCTCTGAACTTGGACTTTCCAGTGGATACAGCAGCGCTTGGTCTTGATTTTGCTAAGGCAAATCTACACTTGCTTTAGCAGAAGGGTGGTACTTCTGAGGCATGCTCTTCTGGGTGTCTCCATTAAAGCCCAGATGTTAGAGTAGTGTTCACAGCTCTCTCTATGTTGTGAGAAGTGTTTGGTCTTTGTCTCTATCTCTGTTTTGTTTTAAATATCAAAGAAACCACACTCTGGTAACACTCATTTTTTTTCTGTTCACTTTTTTTTTTTGTGGGGGGAGTGCTTTTCAACAAATGTTGTTATGACCATGGTTGGATAATCAAGATGACCTTGAGCAACCTTTCAAAGATAGAGGAACTGTAAATGAGTGAAAGTGTCTGAATATTAAAGAGAATCTACTGAGGAGGGAAAAGGGAACCCTTAATTAAGCCAGTGGGAATAAATTTTGTATAAAGTAACACCCATTCCTAGGTTTCTTGTGAGGTTCCTCAGTAAAAAACATATGGGTGTACACTAATTGATATTAGTTTTTTAAAATATATTTTTTAGTTGTAGATGGACACAATACCTTTATTTTGTTTATTTATTTTTATGTACTGCTGAGGATCGAACCCAGTGCCTCACACATGCAAAGCAAGTGCTCTACCCCTGAGCCACAACTCTAGCCCTGATATTGGCTTTTAAAAAAATGTTTTTTGTATTGTTGTGTTCACTATTTTTGTATTAATTTTTATGATTTATATGACAGACGCTACCACTTTGTTTGAGTTCCTGCGTTATTTTCTCCCGGGTTATTATTTATTCTTGATTTACTATGTTTTCACTGCGTGGAGGATTTTAAAGTTTGTACAGTCAAGCACAGTCATGATACATTTTGGAAGTTTTGGGGTATATGACTTGCTTCACCCTCTTGTCTTCTGCCTCACCTGATATTTATAAAATCAATCTTCCATGTTTTGTTATTGTAATTTTCAGATTTTAATTTTTTATATTTTTAATTTTTATGTACACTGTATGGTAGGGAATTGAACTCTGACTTTGCTAGTTAGATAGTCAATTGTCCAATAACTTTTTCCATTGCTTTAAAATATTAGCTTGTCACATTTTACATTTGTATACATATAGGTAATATGGACACAGAGTTCTGTACATGAACTTTTTAGTCGGTCTCATTGATTTGCTTGTCTAGGCCAGTGTACTGATTTAAATACTGTAGTTCTGCTTTATGATCTGATATTTTGCAGGGCAGGCTGCCTCCTATTATTCTTCCTTGAAAATTTCCGTGAGCTGTTCTTGCAGAGTCACTCCTCTGGATGAGTTTTAGGATCTGTTTACCCATCCCAGTGGGCCTTTCTTGACTTGAATTCACAGGTTAATTTGGAGGAACAGCAAAACTAATCTTTCAAGGAGGAAGAGAGGAGCAGAACACAAGACACCCAGCGAGCTGGGCCTGCAGCTTTGGAGACACCTACACCTAGAACCTACGTGTGGAAGAGTTTCAAAGGACTCCAAAGGAAGCAAGGTCATAGGGATCATACCGAAGTTAGCTTCTCCTTCTCCACACATTTTCCTGAGATTCTGTCTGAAGGTTCTCTGTGCAGGGGTCCTGCTAGCCCTGCCTGCTGGAATGGGGTCCAGGAAGCTGAGTCACAGTTACTTTCTTCCTCGTGCCCAAGTTACATTCATTGAAACTAAACAACTGTTCTCGAATTACTCAATTATTCAGCAGGAACAAGCTCAAAAGAAAAGGAGGGGGAAATGGAGACGTGTGGGAGAAGGAGTGAGCACAGGGAGAAGCGACATAAGAGCACTGACAAAATCTATTCTATGAGAAGGTCTTGGGCTAAAGAATCTCTGCAAAGGGGTGAGGGTTGTTCCATAGCTGCAGGAGTTTGAGCAGCACTCCCGGGAAACAACACCGCAGTCTTGAACTGTGTCTCTGACTCTCATTTTTTCTTCTATTTTCTTTCCGGTGGTGTTTACTTTTCTTTCTTACTTTCCCCCCAAATAGATAGAAATGATTAGAATTGAATTTCCTTCAGCAGCATGCGGAGCTGCAGTGTTTGTTACAGAACCTCATTTCTGTTGTGGATAATGGCAGGGAGCTATTTATAGACGGGCTCTGAAATTTCCTTAGTAACAAGGGTTGGAAAGAGCTCTGTCCCCGCTGCAGGAAATATCTGCAGCCAGCCGGTGGCCTTGCCCCTGATCCCTCTCAACTTTGGAATTCTCAAGTGATTGTAGGTTTAGTATTATTTTCTTGTACTTCAAACATACGTCACGGCTGGAGAACTTTCATGAATATTTACCAATCCAATTGTGTACTGTATTTTGTTTTGATGATCATGTGTTCTATTGAAGGAGGGATATTTCATTTTGATTGCTAGGCTTTGTACTGCTACAACTCAGGTCTACGCTGAACTTTCTCAGACTTTGAGATTTATATTTCCATTGTATTTCACATTCCTGGGCTTTGGCCAGAACCCTAACCTTTACCTTTAAGCACTTTTCCCTCCCTTTTATGTTTGTTCCCTTTTTCCTTCCCTCCAGCTTGACCATCTGTCTCCTTCCTTTTGCTTCCGTAGAACCATAGACTAAGTACCTAGGGGTGAAACGGCACATGTCATCAAAGGATTCGGTTTTCAGAAGTCATCTCTGATCTGGGTGAGTACACAGTGACTTCTGCAAAGTGTTCTGCATCTTGTGACCATCTGGGCCCATGACCTCGCCTAGTTAGAGCTTCGTTAACAAGGCCAAGGTCATGGTTTCAGACCCCATATGGTCCAGTTTACTCTGCTCAAGGAAGAGCTTTATTACGTTGCTGTGGCCTGCAACTGCTAATGCTGGTGGGCCCGCCTTGAAAAGGGGCTTCTACAGGAAGACCTGGAGAGAGCTGGGTTGCAGCCAGCCCCTCAACATCATTACAGCAAACTTCAAAGCCTATGTTCTGGGTGGACAGTCAGCAGGACTCTTATCTCAATGCATGCTTTATGTTAAGCTTTAGAATAGATAAGCAATCATCTGTCTCCCACTGGGAAGGCCGTACAGAATAACCCAAAGATGTCTAGTGTTTGGGGCCATTGTTCCTTTTCTTCATTTGGCCATGTCACACTCTATAAAGTGGGTCTCTGTGGAGCTGCAGATTTTACCCATGGAAATTAAGGGATGGGCACAATTAAACCTGGCAAGACGAGCTGCTGTGTGTAACTGGGAAGAGTTGCCATCGGAGAAGTACAACGTCTGAGGGCTTTGAAGAGCAGAAACCGAGCATCTTCTCTGTCTAGTTTTGTAAACGAGTAAAGTATTTGTTTCCAGGATAATTTGAAATTTACAAACCATTTCCATATCCTCCATTTCCCTTGGTTCCTTGGATGTGAGATTCGCTCGACAGGCAGTATCACACCTTTCCTATTGGAACGTTCTGTGTAGAGGTCCCATGACTTGTCCTTGGTTGCACAAGTTACAAAGCCTTGAACCACAACCCAGGGGGCTTTCTCTGGTGGCACACTACACTGGGATTTTTTTTAAAATTTATACTTAGAAATATTTCAACAAATGTTATTGTTGATACCATTTCTACTTTTCCTATCGTGCTTTTTTTTTTAAAAAAAATAATTTTTGTTGTAGAGGGATACAAAATATCTTTGTTTATTAACCTATTTTTCACATGCTGCTGAGGATCAAACCAGTGCCTCACACAGGCTAAGCAAGGCCTCTGCCACTGAGCTACAGCCTCAGCTCCCCTCCACCCCCTTGTGCTTTTGATTGGCTTATGGTTGGAAGATTACGGCTTCTATGGCTGCAATTACATACAAATCAGATTTCTGAAACTTGGATATGGCCTCAGAAGGAGATTGAAGAGCTGCTTCCAGGGCCTTTTCAGGGGGGATTATCTGAATAGTAGGGGGACAGAAAAAAAATTCTGAAATTAGAGAAGCCTGCTTTCAAATCCTGACTTAGCCTTAGTTGATTTCTCAAGTTATTGAACCCTATGTGGTTGGGAAATAACCTTGGCAGCGCTCTTTCTGAATTGAATATGCCAAATTGTGTACTAGCCCTGCTCAGAACTGAAATCCAACAGTGAAAAAATGATGAAAGGGTTTTCAGCTAATCATAGAAGTGGGAAGAAAGCAAGATGTTCTTAATCTTTTCTCTCCCAAGACCATTGTACTTCAATTGTGTGACATTTCTGTTCCAATTAAAGGCATGTCTTATATCCAAAGGGTCTCATTTACATTTTCTTGCTTTGCAAGCCCTAGCATCCTATTTTTTTTACAAAATTACATAATGCATTATGTCTTGATGCAATTTAATACCTCCTGCTGACTATTCAAAATTACTAAGCAGAAGGTCAGAATAAATCAGTGAACAGCTATTAAAATGCATAGGCAGCAACACAAACAGTAGATAATTAGTACTTAAAGTAAGCCAAAGCCTCAAGAAATGTGAAGAAAAAAGTAATCAAGGTGTTTTATTAATTCTGTAACTGCATCTTACATTCATAAAAATGGCTATGGATTTAGAGCCACCATTAATTTGCCTTTTTGGGAATGGTTTGTTTTTCTCCTTGTGGAATATATTATACCATACAGAAGAGGGTATAAACCATATGTACAGTTTAAAACACAATTGCAAAGCAAACATCCATAAGTCACCCAGACCAAGGAGAAACTTGCCATTGCCAGTCCCCCTAGCCAGGGCAGAATCCTCCCCACCAGATGCAATGTGTTTATCAACTCTACCTGTTGCCATAATTTATCTTTCTGATAGTGTGACCCCTAGGGAGTTCAGTTGGATGGTGTTGGTTTTTGAAACTTACACAAGGGAATTACACAGACTTTTACTTTTGTGATTGCTGCTTTCACTTGATAGAGTATTTGTGACATCTGTGTTGTTGGTGTATTTATAGTTTATGTATTTTTATGGACATGCAGTTTAATATCATATATATATACTTAACAATATCTGTATTGATTCTACCCTGATGCCCTTTGGATCATTTCCATTTGGGGGCTATTTTTGAATGCTGCTGCTCTCTTCTGGCTGCATACTAGCATTCCTACAGAGTATATATTTAGGGGAGAATGATCCAACCACAGGGCCTGTATGCTTTCAACTTTACTGGATAATACTAAAACATTTTTAAAGTATTTGCACCATTTTTGACTCTGGGAGAGTTCCAATTTCTCTAATTTCTCACCAACACTTGTAGCTGTCAGAAATAATGTAATTTTTGCAAACCCAAGGGCTACATAATGGTTTTTCATTGTGGTCTTAGTTTGGATTTCATTGCCTACCTAATTAGTTGATCATATCTTTTTTTTTTTTTTAAGAAGCCATATGGAATTCCAATTTAGGAAAAGCTTATTCAAATCATTTGCCATTTTCTTTATAATTGGGCTGTTTTCCTTTTTGAGGGCTGTTTTAGTCAGCTTTTTTGCTGCTGTGACTAAAAGACCGAACCAGAACAATTGTAGAGGAGGAAGAGTTTATTTGAGGGCTCACAGTTTCAGAGGTCTTGGTCCATAGAAGGCTGGCTCCATTCCTTGGGGATCAAGGTGAGGCAGAACAGCATGGTGGAGGAGTGAGGTGAAGGGGAGCAGCTCACATGATGATCAGAAAGTGGAGAGAGACTCCACTTACCAGATACAAATATATACCCCAAGCCATGCTTCCAATGTCCCACCTCCTCCAGCCACATCTTACCAACCTTCAGTGACAACTCAGTTAGTCATTATTAGGGGATTACTTCACTGATTGGGTTAAGACTCTTACAACCCAATCATTTCTTCTCTGAACCTTCTTGCACTGTCTCACACGTGAGCTTTTGGGGAAGCCTCACACCCAAACCATAGCAGGGGGTCTGTGTATTGTTCAGAGCAATGACCTGAAGATGGGGGGAATTAGCCATGGGGATGCCCACAGGAAGGGCATGTCAGGGAGTGGAAAGAGCCAGTGCAAAGGTCCTAAGCCAGAAGCCCTCTGGAGCAAAGTGGTGATCGGGAGAGGAGTAGCAGTTGGCTTCGGATGATGGGGAGAAGGCTTTGTTGGCCTCATAGAAATCTTTGGCTGGGATTACGAATCTCATGGAAATTGACCAAAATTTCCACCAGAAGAGCCACACAACCTGATTCTTTCTCTCTCTCTCTTTAAATTAATAGATTTCAATTATTATTATTATTATTATTATTATTTTATTATTATTGTTAGCAGTTTACAGGAAGTGGAATGGAATATAATGTCCTATTGGGAGAATCTGTGCTTCTCACCTCTGCAACTATGGGATCTACACTATTGCAGATGTTGGCATTCAAAGTAGGCATGCTCTTGCTAGAGGACACAGGTTTCCTTGATTATGTGACCTATCTGTGCTGCTGGGGCACATGCAGAGCAGCATGGGAGAAGAGCAATCAGTTGGCAGGAGGGACTTACCCTGAAGCAAGGAGGGGCAGATCTGCTTTCACACAGGGAGTAGGAAGGAGTGTTTGTGGTACCTGGTGGTCCCCTCTTAGTGCTCCTTTGTCCAGTCGTCACTGTGAACGGACATGTGCAGCAAGTCCAGGGGATGCTGTTGTGAACATGGACTCGCATCTTTAACAACGAAAGTTTGGTCTACACCACCAGGAGCGGTCCCAAGACCTGCACAGGCATTAGCTGAGGGGAAAGAAATTTAGAGGGATGGAGGAGGAGGGAGACGACGAGTACCAACTGTGGCTCAGACCAGCTGTGACAACAGGGGCTGTGGTCTCTCTCCCTGAGGTGGCCCTAAGGAGAAGAGGTCAGTGGCACCCTGGCACCCTGGGATGTGGATGAAGGTGTGCACCTGTGCAGAGCGAGGATGGACCAGGGTGGTCATGGAGGTTCACTGCTCAGTCCGTCTTCAAGCAAGCCTCCACTTCAGTCACAACACAGTGCTTGAGATGACACCAGGCTTCCTTGGCCATTCCCAGCATGATGGGGTTACTAGGGCCGGAAATTCCTGCCTTTAACAGGCAGCCTTTGCTCAGTAGCTTCCATAGGCTGGCTGGGGCCTTCTGAGATGGAAGATGTTCTTATTAAACTCTCCTTTCTTCTTTCTCTGCTTCCACAGATGTTAGAGCTACACCGTGGTCAAGAGACTCCCCCAGGCTCCTCTGGCTGTCTTCCTGCGCTACACAGCGAGCATTTCCCCCATTGCATCTCTGAGGCACCAGGGCCCACTTTGGCATCTGTTTCTGGGAAGACCTGAGCTGAAATGAGGTATGTTTCGTGTAATTATTGACATGTCCTAGTTTAAATTTACCATCTTGCCTTTTTTTTGGTCTGTCCCCCCTTCACCTCCCCACCCCATGTACTGTTTGTTCCTTCATCTCTTTCTTTTGGATTGAGTTTTTTTTTTTTTTAAACAAACAATTGTTTTATAATCTGCATTTTGTTGTTCAAGTTGTTTTTTTTTTTGGCATTTGTCTTTAGTTTTATTTCAAAGTTAGGGTTTAACATTCCAGGCGCAGTATTTCCCTTCACATATTGCATCACAAAATGTAAAACAGAATACATCCCATTCTTCCCTCCTGTCCTTTGAGCTATTTTCAGATATTTGACTTCTGCATGTGCTCTAAACCATGAAACACACTGCCAATATTTTTATTTTAAACAGTCAAATATCTTTTACAGAGATTGAAAATGATCAAGAGTCTTTTATGTTTATCCAAATGTTTACTTTTGGGAGTGTTCTTCGTGACTTTGTGTAGACCCAATATCCAACTGTTAACATTTTCCATCTGCCTTAAGGATTTTCTTTAATATTTCTTTCTTGCAACAATTTTGTTGATTTTTTTTTCAGAATTTGTCTGAAATAGTGTCTATTTCTCTTTTTTGTTATAGTAGAAGATACATAACATGAAATTTACTATTTTTGCCATTTTATATGTTTTATTTAGCCTGTTGCAGGGCATTTTTGGATGTTTCATACAGGTTTTACTGAAAATGCACATTTTCCTGGATCACATGGTAATAACTATCAGTTATTTTCAAGAAACTGTCGCGTTGTTTTGCGGAGTGCCTATACCATGCACATGGGAGGGTCAGAGGACACGTATACACATTCTTTGCCTTATCTTTGTGTAGACTTGATTTGCATTTCCCTAATTAATGGAACTGAACATCTTTCATGTTCTTATTTTCCATCTCCATGTTCTCTCAGTGAAATGTCTAATTCCACTTCCTATTTTCTAACCAAAATGTGCTTTTTCCCCCCTTCCTGTTCAGTTTTTAAAATTTCAAGGATACATTGTAGATGTGGGTCCTTAGTCAGAAACGTGGCTTGCAAAGGTCCTCTTCGAGTCTGCGCCTTGTCACCTCATTATCTTCACGAGGTTTGCCTCACAGCAAAAGTTAATTTGGATGAAGTCCGTTTTATTGATTGTTTCTCTTTCATGGACCAAGCTTCTGATGTCATGCCTAAGTATTTATTTATTTTTAATAAAAATGTATCTCCCAAAGATTTTTTTTGTTATGTTTTCTTCTAAAATTTTTTATAGTTTGGTGTTTTATATTTAAGCCTGAGATTCATTTTGAGTTAATATCTAGGTGAGATTTGAAGTTTCGATTGCTACTATTTTTGCGATGGATAGTCAACTGCTCCAGTACCATCTGTTGACAGTGCCACCCTTCCTTGTTGACTTGCTTTTTGCTCATTTGTCAAAATGCACTGGGTTATATTTGGATGGACTATGTCTGAGTTCTCTTTTCGTGTTTCCTTTTCTTTGTGTCTACAGCTTCATAAATACCACAAATCTTGATAACTGTAGCTATATGGTATCTTAAAATGGAATAGAATGATTTATTTTTCTTGTACTTTGTTCTTCTTTTCCAAAATTGTTTTAGCTGTTCTAATTCCCTTGCCTTTCTAGGTAAACTTGGAATGATTGAGTCTATGTCTACAGGCCGACATTGCTGAGATTTGGGTGGTATGATTTTATATTTTACTCTGTTTCCCTATATCCATCTGTGTCATTGTGAATTCTCTGTGGATGTATTTTCTCCTAGTTATGGATTATACATTTTCACTTTTCTCTTAATTTTTTATTGATTGTTGAACCTTATGGATTTTACATGATTGGTTGCTAGGTTTTATCATTTAATAGCTCTTGATTTTCCTGTAAGGTAGCATAGTTAAGTTGCTTAGAAGCAACTGGAGGCTTTTGAACCTTGTTCTGAAGCTTTGCCAGGGCGGGAGGGTGTGCTCTTTAACATAGACATAGTTCAACTCTGGCAGCACAGGGAAATCCTCCTGAGATTCTACCTCACACCCTAGGTGTTGCTCCACGCTGGGTGACAGGACTTCAGGGGCTTCTGACTCCCTGGAATTGTTCTGCCAAACTCCCTTCTGGTGGTTCTTCAACTCTTGAGGTTTCTCGCCTGTTCATTCATAGATCTGTACCCAGCCGCAGACTTGGGAGCGTCCCCCTGACCTCCGAGCTCTCTCTGTAAGCCACCCATTCCCCTCTGGTGCTCTGCCTCTCAATTTCTACATGTCTTCACCTTCTCAAACTCCAAACTCTGCCTCCTGACCTCTGTGAAGTAAGAACTGAAAGTTCTCTCGGATTTTAAGTTAGCACAATCCTAAGAGCCCATCCTGATTTTTCCCCTTCTTTGGAGTAAGTTTCAATCTAGGTAATTTTAAGTCCTGGTGACATAACAGCCCAAACACATTGTGCATTTTACTTCAATTCATTATAAACTTATAATACAAAGCTATTATTTTACTTTAAGCAGTTTTTGAGTAAAATTTCGAGTTAGAAAGATGTATTTTCTATTTGTCACATAGATGTCATTTTCAGGACTCCTCATTTCTTCATGGAGATAAAATTTCCACTGAGTGATATTTCCCTTAACATTTCTTACATTACAAGTTTGCTGGTACTTAATTTCATCAATATTTTAATCAATATTTTATGTTTCTAGGTAACATTTTTTTTCTCTTAGAACTTTAAAACTACTGGCTATCTTCTGGTTTATGTAGTGTTTGACAGAATATTTGGTGGCATTTTTAAGTTTTCTTTTTTGAATGTCTAACATAACTTATCCCCCTCTACCTTCTTCTAAGGTATTCTTTATCACTGGGATTTAACAGTTTCATATTATTGGTATGATTTTTAAATGTTTTCGTTAACATTTTTTTCTGCTCAGGGTTTGTTGAGCTTCTTGAAACTGTTGGTTTACAGTTTTCATCAAATTCAGAAAAATATTTGACTATTCTTTCAATATTTTTTGTCTCCTTTTTCTAGGACTGTAATCCCACATATATAAACAATTGATATTGTCCTGCAGATCACAAAAATATTCATTTTTAAAGTCTTTTTTCTGACTTGATGCCATTTGGATAGTTTCTATTATTTGATATCACATTTTCTTTATCCATTCATCTGCTGCAGGATACCTAAGTCGGTTCCATAGTTTAGCTATTGTGAGTTGATCTGCTATGAACATTGATGTGGCTGTATCACTGTAAATGCTGATTTTAAGTCCTTTGGGTATGAGCCGAGGAAGTGTTTAATTGGTTGCAAACTCTTTCTAGTGTATTTTCATTTAGAGATTTTATTTTTATCAATATAGACTTGACTTGAAACTTTCTGCATCTCCCATGTTTATCTTACAATATTTATATATAATTTTTACACCATTGAGTATATGGAACATCTTTATAATTACTATAACTACAGTTTTAATGTTCACTTCTGCCTATTCCATCATCTATGTTATTTCTGGGTCTGTTTTTATTGACTGTGGAGCACATTTCCTGCTTTCTGTGTACATAATAATTTTTGAGTGGCTTCTGCATATTTTATGTTAAGTGCTGGATTTTGTTGTGCTCCTTTAAATAATATTGGGCTTCTATTTTGTTGTAGCAGTTAAATTACACATGCATTAGCTTGATCCTTTTGAGATTTATTTTTAAATCTCTTTTAGGGTAAATGTGGAACAGTCATTGTTCTAGAGCTAATTTAGCTCCAGTTTTTAAAATGTGAGGTTGGACCTTCTGGGATCTACACTGAGAAGGCTGTATGTTCAACAAGATCTATCCAGTCCTGCTACAGTGAGCTTACATAATCTTGGAAACTGTTAGTTCTGGTTATAGTTTTTCCCTTGAAAGTTACTCTGGTCTATCCTCATTGGGTTTTCCTCATACATTTGTGGACTGATTATCAACTAAAGGCTCTAGAGGATCCTCATGCAGATTTCTAGAGCTCTCTGTAATGACCTCTTCTTAAGCATCGTCCTCATGATTACAGATGTCTCTGTCTTCCCAAATTTTAGTTTCGTAACTCCCCAAGGGACACTGGGCTCTATTTTCCCTCTCCTCCCCCACATTTATCATTACCTTAAGCAGGAAATGTTTTCTCTTTTTTTCAGGTTGTGGTCATGCACTGTCCTTTGTCTAATATCTGAAAATGGTCACTTTCTATGCTTTGTCCAATATTCCAATTGTTTCTGGCAGGAGGGAAATTCTTGATTAATGTATTCTCTTATGTTTGGAAATAAAGATCCCCTAGATATTTATATTTTTCTATTATTCATATGACTTGCTAATTTAAACTTCTTTTATTCTGTTCCTGGAAACTATGTTTTAAAATAAAGTTTAGAACTTTATCTATAATTCTATGTATACTCACCTTGCTATAATTTTGGACCACACTTCTCATCTGCCAAGTTCTTTTGATTTTGTTATCCAGATGTTGAGTCTCATCTTCATTTCTTATCTCACCAACTCTAATATTCTTCTTCTTTTTTTAAAATAATAATTCATGTTCTTGCTAAAACATTGCAGGACAAATGCAGAGTAGTGAAGAGCGGCGTTCTGGGTAGCTGTGATGGGGTAATAAGACTCCACAGCTGGTCTGACTACAGACTGTCGAGCTGCCAGGCACCCCCAGGCAGCAGGCAGCTGCCAGGCTTGCTCACAACATTTCCGTAGATTCCGTTGGCAAGGAGACAGTGAGCCCTCGAGACCTGGATGGCCTGTGTCCCTGGCACGGTGGGCAGCATGAGCTTCAAGTGTGCCCCAGCCCTCTTTGCCTCTTTGATCTCATTGAGGCTGATGTGGAATAGGCCAAGGTGCAGTGCTGCGCCCAGTGGACCATCATACCTGGGCAGCACCCAGCGGAGGACCCTCCCAACTTGATGAGGGACTTTGGGTGGATATGCCAATCACCCTCTTCAGAGATATTGTTTTTATTATTCTAGATACGAACAAACCTATTTTAGGGAGAGAAGTGAGGCTTTTTGAGTCTGAAATGTCTCCTTATACTACCATCGCTAAATTGACTGCAAAGAAACAAATGCCTTGGCTCAGGAGGCTTAGAGCATGCGGAAATGCCAGCTGCAGAGAGAATTGTCCTCTGACAGACACGGGAGCCTTTTATGAACTGTAGTAGTATTTTGTATGTAATTAAAATATTCTTGACTAGTTTTAAATAAAATAAAATAAGAATATTATATCCCTATGTATGTATTCCTGTGTATATGTGTGTGTGTGTGTGCATGTGTGTGAATTTGTGTATAAACTTGCAAACAGAAATAGGTAGCCAAATATGTGATAGACAGTAAGGCCATTAAGAAGTGTTGTGCATGCTCCTTTCTATCTGTCACTATTAAATCTGTTTGTTTATTTTTTGCCTAGTGTTGAGTCTGAGTAAATTAGTTATGCATATGATAAAACTTCAGTATACTGCATGTATTTCTGCTTTCTGCACAAAGAAATCATGAAGGAATATGACAATGCTTGATTTTTTTTTTAAACACAGAACCAGCGATTGAATCCAGGACCTTTCAAAGTTAGGCAAACACTCCACCCCTGAGCTACATCACCAGCCCTTTTAAAACCTTAATTTGAGCCAGCGTCTTCCTCAGTTGCCCAAGCTGGGCTGGCACTTGCAATTCTTCTGCCTCAGCTTCCTGAGTAGCTGGGATTATAGGTGGGTACCAGAATGCCCAGATTAAAAGACATATTTTTTTATTTTACTGATACAATTTCCATTATTTTACAGTGTAGAGGTTCAGTTAAAATAAGGTACAGGGCTGGGGATATAGCTCAGTTGGTAGAGTGCTTGCCTCACATGCACAAGGCCCTCGGTTCAATCCCCAGCACCACACACACACACACACACACACACACACAATGCAATTAGTTTGACGTGACTTATACCTAGTTAACTCATAACAATTCCCAAGTATAACTACTCTCTTTTGCATATATTCGAAACTGAATATAAACATACATCTCCTGTTTAGAGTCATCTGCTTTAACTACTTGGCCTTTGGTTTCTGAAACCTATTGTTTGTACCACTAGTCTCCAAAAAAAGCCTTTAATCCTTTTGATACTGTTTTCCTACCTCATGTCAAAGTGGCAAAGAAGTGATAGCCACAGTATGACTCTGAGAGAGAACTTCATCACAGAGTAGCTATCATGGTTGGTTTTTGACAAAGTCTAGCTTTAACATAAAATTTCCTTGGGTGAGCCTCTTCTCCAGTTAACAATTTGGAGAAACTAGACAAAGTAAGCAGTTAAAAAGTCAGGTGGTACAAACTTGATGTGATGGAATGTCATTTAGTATTCTAACCAAATCAACTTGTCTTTCAAACAGTTGCTAGGATTCTTATAGCAATGAACATTTAATGAAAGCCTAGTACAGGTAAGGCCCACCTGTGTGCCAAGGACATTAAAGTAGGTGGCAAGTTAAATAAAGATAAATTATTTGAATAATTCAACAACAAAATCAATGTCACAATGTTTGGTAGTCATTGCGTTGCCCAAGCAATAATTTAGGACAAAGCTCAAATGTGTAATGACTCCAACTTCAACAGAAATCGTCTGGGAGATGTTTATAGGGACAGGGTAAAGGTGGGCTTAGTGCAGGTGGGGGAGACAGTGAGGACCCTTGCTAATGAGGGCGCCATTGTTAATAAAAGTGGAGAGGAAGGATGGCTTGAGGGACACATGACTTTAAAGGCCACTGAACGGAGAAACAGAAAGAAAGCTTGTAGCTGAGGAGTTGAGGACCCCTCAGCATCAAGTTGAGGAACATGAACAAGGAGACATCTCATTTAGTGTGGGGACAGAGGAGAAGCTATGAGGAACCAAGTTAGTAACTATATCTCGTCATACAGACAACAACGATGCCCAGTGTAGTAAAGTCCAACACTGTTGGAATGCATCCTCAAGTGTGCCTGTCTATGGGGCTAGGGGTGGTTCTGTATTCTCTGTACAAATTTACTCAGTTTCCTAAATCATAGGCTTTGAGGAGCTGGGAGAGAGAGTCACTCGGCTCATAAAAAGCTACATCCACAATAGAATTTTAAGTCGTGGATGTCCACCTTTTCTGAATCACTCTGGAAATCACTGCTCAGATCTGAAACTGCATGTAGTCAAGCCACTGGAGGAATAGATGTCTATGTTGTGTCCATGAGCTTGAAGTCCTGGGTTGAGAAATAAAGCAGAGAAGAGTGTCAGAGGGAAGCCGTCACTACCAGGTGGCACCTGAGGAAAGACAAGGAGTGAGGAACAGCTAGAGGACACGAGAGCAAGGGGGAACAGCAAGGGCCAAGACCTGGAAACAGGAGCAAAAGTGTCTTGTTTGAGGACAAGAGAGACCATGTGGATGGAGTCCAGTGGGCAGGAGGGAGTTAGCAGGTCAGTTAGCAGGTCAGCTTGGAGAAGCAGGGGCGGGGCGTCAGGCAGGACGTGGAGGCCTCAGCCATACGCTGATCAAGGGTGCAGCTACTGGGGCTTTTGAGTAGAGAAATTGCAACATTCATCCTACTGTCTTTTCTTGGGTCTAAGATGCCTTGGATTTTAAGACCTGTTATGCAAAAGTTACCATTTCATGTCTGACACTGGGGCTTCCTTTTTGTTGATGATTCTTACCTTGATTTAAGAAATGTTAAAACGTAAAAACAAACAAAAAAGTGCTTTGGAAACCTAAAATGTAATATGTTCCCTAAAAAGCATTCTGTCTGCTTCATCGGGCGTAGGCTACAAGGGAGGCCTTTGCAATTCAGCCGTCCAGGGTGTGTGAAAAATGACCCAGATGTGGAGATGTTTGAGGTGAGAGGAAAAGAAACTGGAAGGTTTTTGGTTTCCGCAACAGTAAGTCGTCATTTACTGAGATGGAGAAAACTATGAGAGGAACAGATTTTGTGGGGGACAGTTAGAACTTTGTTTTGGACATGGTTGAGAGTCTCAGACTTCCAAGGGGAGATATCGAGTAGCACACATGCATGCACACCACACACACACTCACACACACACACACACACTCTCTCTCTCTCTCTCTCTCTCTCTCTCTCTCACACACACACACACACACACATACACACACACACACGTCAGTTCTCATTCCTGGTGGAGTCCACATTTGTGAATTTTCTTTTTCACTGATATTTATTGATCCTCAGATGAACGCAGAGTCTCACAGTCGTTCATGGCCACGTGTGGACAGGTGGCAGCTTTGGGCTGCCCAGCGCCCGTGCTCTCAGCTGAGATCAGAGGCACTGGCCTTGGCCTCCGGCTCTCCTGCTGAAGCCCTTCTCTTCCTCCAGCCCTAACCGGTGCTTCGTTTTTTGCTTGCTCGTGCTTTTTCTTGGTGATGCCTTTGTTTAAAATGGTCCCCAGCTGCAGTGCTGAAGTGCTGTTCTGCGTTCCTCGTGTGCTAATGCCGGGACGTGCCTTCTGGGGAGCAGACACCTGTCGGGTTTTCATTCAGGCATGAAATACAGTGCTGTCGGCCATGGACGCAATATTAGCGAGTCAACAACATATGTTAAATAGACGTCTTTTAAAATAAACACATAAAGCAAGGTTGTTTATCAGTAAATTCAAATGTTATTACCAGAGGTGCACTAAATAAATAGATAGATAAATAGATAAATAAATAGAAGAACTCTATTTCCCCTAAAAGCAATAATTGAGTGTTTGCTAATTCTGTATTGGTGACAACTTTATAGACCATCATTTCAACAAATAGTGAGAATCAGCTATATATATTCTGGAGTTCTTTTTTTAAAAAAATATTTTTAGTTATAAATGGGTGCAATACTTTTATTTATTATTTTTTTTATTCTTTGTCTTATTTCTTTTTTAATTTGTTTTAATTAGTTACTCATGACAGTACAATGATCTTGACATATCATATTTGAATCAGATGGGATATAATTTCTCATTTTTTCTGAATGTACAGGTTGCAGAATTATATTGGTTACGAAGTCATGTATACACCCACAGCAATAATAATGTCTATTTTATTCTGCTGTAATTTATTTATTTTTATGTGATGCTGAGAATCGAACCCAGTGCCTCACACATGCTAGGCAAGTGCTCTTCCACTGAGCCACAACCCCAGCCCCCTATATTTTGGAATTTTTGAGCTCAGGAAGATATAAGTACTAGATGAGAGGTCATCTGTATCTACTCACATTTAAAAATCTTATTATCCCACAATTGACACAGATTTGAAAAAAGCAAGGAGATGATTACAGAAATTGAAAATAAGCTTTTGGAAACTTTTAGATATTATAGGGTAGATATTACATCTATTGAATGTAGTACTAATAAAGAATGAGGTTGCATTTTACAGATCTGTTCCTAAATTTTTCTGATCCTTCATGTTATTGTGTTTTGCAGAATTCTTCCCCTGTGGTGGACTCGGGGGACAGTCCCGCAGCACCCACAGCTTGAGAAGCGCTGGTCTGGGAGGTGGTTCCATTCTACCCTGCCCCCACTTTCCACATGTCAGGTAGCTCTGAGGCAGATATTAGCACAAGGTGAGTTTACATTTCTAGTTTCTGGTTTGGCACATGAAGAGCTCAGAAGTTGTGATCATCCTAATAAGTGAAAAACAGAAGAAACTATAAAATAAACAGCTCTTAGAAAAAGGAAGCCTCAGAAGAGACTGACAGATGTCCACTTCCAGGGAAGCAGAAAAGAGTTTCCAGAGAAAAATCTATGTTCTATTCTAATCAAATTTCCGACATCTTTTGATAAATGTTCCGTCTCAGGGGCCTCTGATCCCTGCCTCTCTGAGGGGGTGATGCTGCGGGCAATTAAATCAAGTTCAAAAATACTTATTAAATAAAAATACATGTCAGCAGCCCTGTCTTTCAGCATAACACCCTCCTCACAATGGCCAGGAAGACCAGCGTCTCCCTCAGCAGAATGGTCAGCTCAGATTTACTCAATATGGCATTGGCTCTCTAAGTCAAAGGGACATGCTGGCAGGTTCCAGAAAGGCTGGCCGTGGGAGCACAAGACTCAGCACCCTCTCCCCCTCCTCCTGCCAGAATTGTCTGAAATGAGGAAAGAAATGTAAAAATGCAAGACAACCAGAACCTGGGATGCAGTAAGAAGGGGTGCAGTTCATTGCCTCAAGGTGCAAAAGAGACTGCAGGTTCTCAGCCAGTGGGACCCCGGTGAAGGCAGCCGGAGGTCAAACTCACACTCCCTTCCATGGGAAGCCCTGGAAAGTCGCCTGGAGTCAAAACAGACTCCAAATGAGGAGTTGTGGGTAGAGCGTGGGAGAAAGAGAAAAGGCTGGGGGCGATGGGTGGGGAGAGAGGAGAAGAGCTGATCCGGGTGCAGCAGCTTTCCTACCCAGCGGGGCTGCACTTCCAGGTTCTAGGCGAGGCTGCCAAACTACACAGGACTTCTGGGATTTCTTCTGACTCAGCTCCTTCCAGAATATTCCAGAGCTCAGGCTCTAGCTGGAGGGACCCTTTTCGGGCACTGCAGTGCTCCCTGCTGATGGGACCAGTCAAGTCACAGAAAGTAACTTGACTGTCGCTCCCCCGCCACCCCCCACCCCCCCATCACCGCCCCGCCCCGTCTCTCTCCATCCCTTTCTGGGGGAGGCTTGGTTGAAGAGAAACAAGACATCGAAACCTTCCTGCTACAGTATTTTAAGTGAAGATGGAGAAGCAGCCTTACAAGACAAAATTGCTGGGACTGTCCCTGGCATCCGTTCTCTCTTTCACACGGCTCCGTCGTGGATCAGAAACATTTAAGCAGGTGGACATCACCCGCTGTCCAGGCACCGCATGCAGAATTCCAGTACAGCTGAAGGGATAGCATGGAGAACTAGAGAAACTTCTCCTGTTCCTTTGCGGGTAAACACCAGACAGGCTAGACCTGACCTCATTCAAAGACAAAAGTAGATGCTTATATTTAAAAAGTATTAGTATATTATGCTAACAAAATTATATGTGATGCATATGCGAGGAAAGAAAAGGAAAGATAGCTCATAGATCCTTAGACGAGGTCAGAAATAAAACACAAGTACATTATTTATCAGATATAGACAAAATTTATTGACTCAGGGACTGAAGGTAAAAAGATTATAGAAAAATGTATCAACCCAATGTAATAAAAATGCAATGGTTGCTATACCAACATCACAATTTCCAAAGAAAGGCCATTAAATTGGATATTAAAAAATCTTTTTTTTTTAAAAATAAATATAATCCACAAATATGTCAAATAGTGTATTTCAAAAATATATAATCAGGATATATATGAAGTAAATCCTCTATATGTAGAAATATGCCAAGACATCAAGTGGCAGACGAGAGTAGCTGGAGATTTTAACATGCTTGTCACCATCTTTGACAGAATAATTATGCAAAATACAGTGATAAAGAGGCTAGGAAATTCAGGCGTAGAATAGGGACTCAGGCACCAATTGTTCCTTTCAGGTGAGTAGTTGACTTGACCAAGCCTCGGTGGCTCTGCCTGTCATGTTAGGTCAATGCAGGTTCTTACATTGCAAAGACAATTGTTCTAAGGGTGCAGAGGGAACTCTGGGTGGCTGGCTGGTGGTAAGTAGAGGAGAAGGCCATCAGAGTGCTTGAGTCTCCATGGCTGCTCCATGAACGTAAAGAAGAAGGGAATCCTCCCTTGGCATAAGAAAAGGTAGCGTGGGCAAGGCATAGACAGGGGCAAGCAGGGTAAGGTTGGTTGGTGTTGATTTTATTTATTATTATTTTTAGGGAAGAACCCAGCCACACTGGAGTGTAGGTACAGTTATAAATACAGCAGCTGCAGTAGTGGGAGAAGATGCTGGAGGGATTCTTGGAGCATCCGAGAGCCTTAGATTCCGACAGACTGACTGTGGGCCTCTGTGCTCTGGCCTGAACGGTGGAGTGACTCATGACTCCTAGGATGGGGTTCCTAATAAGCCCTATAGAATGTTTCTGTTCAACTTTAAAAATCATGGTTAGAGCCGGGTGCGGTGCTACACCCTATAATCCCAGTGGCTTGAGATGCTGAGGCAAGAGGATCACGAGTTCAAATCCAGCCTCAGAAACTCAGTGAGACCCTAAGTAGCTCAGCAAGACCCTGCTTCTAAATAAAATATTAAAAAAAAAAAGGTCTGGGGATGTGGCTCAGGGGTTAAAGATTGAACCCCTCGGTTCAATCTTTGGTATCAAAGAATAAAATTTGATTAAGTAACATAAAATTATATTAACCCCTGTTAACCCTTTTTAGTCCCATATTAACCCCTTTTTGGTGTGTAGCTCAGTGGGATCAAACACATTGATCATCCAGCACAGCTCCCACCCGTGTTCCCATCCATCTCCAGAACTTGTTTCATCTGTAAAACTCAAACTCCCTGCCTGTGAGCCAACAGCTCCTCCCTCTCCCCTCTCTATAGCCCCTGGACCCACCATTCTCTTTCTCTCTCTGGGATGACTGTTCTAAGTACCTCATACAAGAAGAGCTTATTTCTCTCGAGGTCTACCCATAGGGTAGCACGTGTCAGGATTCCTTCTTTTTAAAGGCTGAGTGATCTTCCATTGCATGTTTAGACTGTGTTTTGTCTGGCCATTCCATTAGTGGCAAGTGGTTGCATCCACATTTTAGCTACTGTGAATAAGGCTGCTCCAAACAAAGGGTGCACAAATGTCCTCTTTGAGACCCTGGCTTCAGTTCTTTTGTGGATATGCCCAGCAGTGAGCTTGTTGGATCTAAAGGTAATCCAGTGTTAAGTTACTGAGCAACTGTCTCGTAGGACCATTGTACCTGTCCACCGATGGTGTACCAGCGTTCCGATTTCTCACCATCTTCACCAGGACGTGCAGTTTTCTTCTTATAGTAGCCATCCTGAGAGATGTAAGATGGCATGACAGTGTTTTTGAGGTACATCTCAAACATGATTGGAGATGTTGAACATCCCTTCCTGAGCTTATTGGGATATGCCTAGCAGTGAGCTTATATCCTTCCTGTATAAATTCTCACAAGCTCCTTGAAATGTTTAAGTAGGAGGCAGTTCAGGTTACAAATTCAGAATCATCTTCGGTGTGCATCATTGGCGATTGCTGATGCTGGTGTTGTTGCTGTCATTATCTCAACAAGTGACTACGCCCCCACCCTGTGGTTTAAAGGAACCATTAAGGCATTTGAAGCAAGGCAACACCTGATCAATTTCGTGTTTCAAAAATAGCTCTGACCTGACACAGTGATGTAAAATTGGAGGACCACCGATGAATTTGTTTACTTTTTATTTCCTCATGCTGGAAAATGAGAATCGGGCCAATCTGACATTTTATTTGGATTTGTTCATTTTCCATTGCAGGTGTATTGCTGCAAAAAGTGGCATGAGGACCTAATTATTCAGGAGATACTTAAAGGGCTGGCAAAAACATTACTGCTTTGTAGACGGGCTGATACCCCAGTTTTCCTTATCATTGCTTTCTCTAGAGAGCCCCCCTGCCCCATGCAAACCATCAGCATTATTTCTGGAGGTAAGGTAAACATTTTAATCTTTGTGGCCTGATCTTGATGGAGAACAGATCAACCAAATCCCGCTCCTGCCTGCAAAGCAATCAATACCAAGGAAGAAAATGAAAAGCACTTAAACCAAACTTCCTGAATGGATACTCCCAAGAAACACGGGAAGGATTTTTTTCCTTAGAAAGGTTATCTTGGAGGTTTGAATCTTTTACAGAGCCCTAACAAATGGCTCAGAAAAGGGATTAGATGGACTCCCTGGGAACGGTAACGATTTTAATGTCACTGTTGAGGTTGACAAAAATAAAAATATTTCCTTAGAAAATGTGAACGAGTGGAAACCTTGTTCCTTGTTTGGGCTCCAGGCCGGCAGGACTAGGGAAAGCCTGGTGGCCCAGCGGAGGAGGTCCTCACCCGATACGTGGTTTTGGATGCCTGGCAGTGCCTCCTTACCTGCTCCAATATGGGTGAGCAGGTATGTGACATCCCAAGTAAGACATTTCATTCATTCAGTCTTGGCAGGCGTCACTCCTGGGCTCTCTTGGCTCCTCTGCTTTTCCTGGTTTCACCTCCACCTACTTCTCCTCTCTCCCTCCACATGCCCCCCACGCTTCCTGCTCCACCTTATGCTCTCCAGCCTTATCGTCCTACTGTGCCCTTGATTTCTACCCCTTCTCCTACTCACCCTTTCTCGCTCCAGACTCACAAGGTCTAAGCTCTGCACCTTATGTTCCTCAGGTGTCCCAAACTCGACGTCTAAAACCATAAACTTTTCCTAAGAAACCAATCCTACCACTTACTCCGCTCCTAAACCCTTGTTTTTATCTTGGAAATCTATGACTACTTTCCCCCCCATCTGTTTAATGAATTAACCAATCCAGTTGTTTCTAGCTTCCCATGTTGTTCTTGGACCATCCACCTCTGATTTCACCCATCCGTCAACTTTATCTCTTACCTGTGTCGTTCAACGGTACCTCATCTGGTCTGATTCCCATCTACCTTTCTTCTAGTACAAACTCTGGATTGCTTTGCTTAAAATGCAAATCTAATTATTTTATCACCAGTCACTACTTCCACACCTTTTATCACTTCCAAGAAGAGCCATGTGCTGCGGGACTATGTTTTGGTCAACGATGCACTACATACACAAGAGTGGTCCCATGGAGCTGTCAAAGTCTTATGGCCTAAGGATGCTGTAGTCATGGTAACACCACAGAGCAAGGCACCCCTCAGATGGTGATGCTGGTATAAATAAGCATATTGTGTTGTCAGTCCCGAGAGGATTGCAACACAATTACATACAGTACGTAACACTCGATAATGTTAATGAATAACTATGTGACTGTATTATGAATTTATTATATTTTTATCATTATTTCAAAGCTGCTCTCACTTATAATAAAGCTTTCTCTAAAAAACTATTGGAGTGTTTTGTAGCAGCAGCCTCACACATTTTCTGTTTATCTCACTTCTCACTCACATGGAGAGGCCGCGTGGAGTAGTCCTCCCACACTGTTTAGAATTGTGTGAGTCCGCGCTGTGATGCTTCCACATGGATGACACATTTCCCAGAGGTGTCCAGTCTGAACAGCTCGTGACTGTCCTCCCAGGAAAAGGCCCAGACTCTGGAACATGGCATGCGGTGGCCTTATCTCTTGCAGTGACTTTTGGCCAACTCTGCCCCTGATCTTAGGTGGAGTCCCTGACACCTTGTTCTTCTCCCATTAGCTCCTCATCTTTGGGCCTCTCTTCCCTTCTGGGGCTCTCAGTTGCTGGGCTGAGTCTTTCTTACCCTCCTGGTTTAGCTCAGAGACTATGACCTCCTGAGAAGCATTTCCTGGGCCTGCCCGCAAGACTGGACCTATGGTTTGGAGTTTGATGCTCCCCAAAGCCTCCCCCTGTTGAAGGCTTGCTGCCCAGCCTGTTGGGAGGCGGAGGAGCCTTTGGGAGGTGGGCCCTAGTGGAGGAGGGGTGTGCCAGTGGAGGCACCCTGGGTCCCCTGCCCCACCTCCCCTTCCCTTCCTGGATGCCACAGGCCAGCAGCTTTGCTCCACCATGTGCAG